TTTTTTTTTTTTTTTTGCAGTTTTTTTTGCTGGGGCCAGGTTTGAACTTACCATCTCTAGTATATGGGGCTCACGCCCTACTCCTTGAGCCACAGGCACCACCCACTTTTAAGATCTTTTTATTCCCCATTTAAAATAGTTTCTATGGTAAAATGTATTTGAATTTCCAATAAGCAAATTTACAACTGAATTTTTGGAAAATAAGTCAGAAATACAGGAGGAACTTATATCACAGCCCTAGTGTACGGTAATAACAACTAATGTTTACTGTGTACTTACTGCATTCATTATTTCACTTCACCCTGTAATAGTCATCTGGCAGATTTTATCGTCGCTGTCAATTTACAGACGAGGAAACCGAGGCACTAAGATCACAGAACTCATTATGATCACCAAATCCATGCAGTGTAGGATCTGAGCCCAGGAAGTCCAAATCCAGGTTCTGCCACCCAGCCCTTTCTAATCTAGCATCTGCCAGTTTCTACGTGCTGTGGGTCTTGCACATAAAAGGGACTGAGGCTGAACACAGTGGCTCAACACCTGTAATCCCAGCACTCTGGGAGGCCAAGACAGGTGGATTGCTTGAGCTCAGGAGTTCGAGACCAGCTGAGCCAGAGCGAGACCTCATCTCTAAAAATAGCCGGGCATTGTGGTAGGTGCCTGTAGTCCCAGCTACTTGGGAGGCTGAGGCAAGAGAATCACTGGAGTCCAAGAGTTAGAGTTTGCTGTGAGCTATGATGCCACAGCTTCTCTATACAGGACAGCAGAGTGAGACTCTGTTTCAATAAATAAATAAATTAAATAAATAAAAATAAGTTTTTTTATTTTATTTATTTCTTTGGAGACAGTCTGACTTTTCTGCCCTCACTAGAGTGCTATGGCATCACAGCTCATAGCAACCTCAAACGCTGAGGCTCAAGTGATCCTCTTGCCTCAGCCTCCTGAGTAGCTGGGACTACAGATGCCTGCCACAATGCCCGGCTATTTTTAGAGATGGGTCTCACTCTGGCTCAGGCTGGTCTCATATCTGGGAGATCAGGCAATCCACCTGCCTTGGCCTCCCAGGGTGTTAGGATTACAGGAGTGAGCCACCGCAACCAGCCCTAAAATTAAGTTTTTTAAATGATGCTATTGCAGCATAGCTAACAAATCCAAATATCCCTGTTAACCCATAAATGGAGTTTAGAGGTTTAACTATGCAGATGCCAAGTTCCTTTACGGTAAATGAGAAAACAGCACAGTACTGATCAGAATGGTCCCGCCTTGGACTAATGCTGTTAATTAGTGTTGCTCCCTAAGCATCTGATAAGCTAAACCCCATCTCTGGCACACACACCAGTGATGGCATGCGTAAGGCAGCTCTGTAAAAGTATTGTTGAATAGGTTTAGGTCAGCAGTTCTCAATCTGTGGGTCGTGACCCAAGGAACTGTATTAAAGGGCCACAGCATTAGGAAGGTTGAGAACCACTGGTTTAGGGGGTTTTAACTATTAATCAGATAAGCAGTGTTTAAAAAACAAAACCAAAACTCTGATAAGAAAACTATTCCTCCCCAAGTTTTCTGGGTTAAAATCCAAAATGTCTGTTGTAACAGTAGCAGAGTCTCCCTTTTTCATAGATTATCCACAGCATCCTACCTTCAAAAGTCACCTACAGCATTCAAAGTTAAAGTTCCTGGTACTACTCAAGAGATGTCATGCAGATCTCTGGACGCTGCTGACTAGATCTCACAACACTTCCACTAGTGTATCTTTACATAGCTACATCAAACAAAACTCCCGAATCCTAGAGGAACTTAAGCAAATATCACATTTCTCTGTTTATAATGAAGTCCACACACAGTTGAATCAAATTTCCATTCAGCATTTTTAAAAGCTCTATAAAAAAATGGCATCTGGCAAACTAAAATTGAAATGTAAGGAAGGACTTGAAAATTTTTCTTTTTCTTTTCTTTTTTTTAGCCAGGGCTGGGTTTGAACCCACCACCTCCAGCATAGGGGGCCGGCGTCCTACCCTTTTGAGCCACAGGCGCCGCCCAGGATGGACTGGCTAATGTCAGGCATCTTCAATAGTTGCTGTCCACCTCTCACGTTCCCTTTAGGAAACATGAAAACGCAGCCAAAAATTGGCAAAATGACTTTTGTTTTTTGTATGAGGCAACTTTTTCAGCCTTTTAAGTCTGGACTTCAATATCTCAGGTTTGCGATGAGGACACATTATTGATAGAACTCTTCGCAAACCAGAATTTTCTCAGGGAAGAGCCGAGGTTTTTAGACATGGTGTGCATGACTGCAGCCCATCAAAGGGACAATCCTACAGATGAACACAAATGGATACTGGCTGCATCTTGCCTGGTGAAGTGAAATCAGGGAAATAACGCAGCATCGCCCTTTCCCTGGGTGCAGCCCCGAACCAAGTGATTTATATGAAAGTACAAAACCGCTTTCTGAAAAAGGTGAAATGACGTGAGGACAGGGTGTCAGTTCAGACTTTCAGGTGGCTCTTCTTACACCAGGAAGAAAGCCATGCTTTACTGGGGTATCACTTAGGAGCGCCCAAAGAAACCAATAAAGGATACAAAAATGTAGTCGTCCATGTATCTCTTCTTGAGATTCTCCACGATGGAGTTCTCCGTGATCTTGGACAGCAGCACCATGTCATCCACACCACTGTGCTTGACATTGTGGCTCTGCCAGTGGTACCGGTATGCACCTTTGCTTCCCTGAAAAGAGAAAACACACGGTTATAAGGATCGTTTATTTTACCCTGGAGTAAAAGGAAAAAAAAGAAAAGAAAAAGTTGCTTAGCTGGGCTTAGTGGCTCACACCTGTAATCCTAGCACTCTGAGAGGCCGAGGCAGGTGGGTCAGGAGTACAAGACCAGCCTGACAAGAGTGAGACCCAGTCTCTAAAAATAGCCAGGCGTTGTGGCGGGCACCTGTAGTCACAGCTACTAGGGAGGCTGAGGCAAGAGGATCGCTTGAGCCCAAGAGTTTGAGGTTGCTGTGATCTGTGACGCCACAGCACCCTACCCAGGGCACAGAGTGAGACTCTGTCTCAACAACAAAAACAACAAAAAATGCTGCTAATTTCCCAAGTCTTTCTCAAATAAAAGGTAGCAGAATGAGTTGAGCAAACACAAAGATTTTTGCCATCAATAGACGCAGATTCAAGTTCCAGCTCTGCTTCCTATAGACCAGCGATTTTCAACCCCCTGCCAGGAGAGGATACTAGGTGTGCCACGAAAATTTTTAAAGATCGTTAATTAAATTATTTTTGAAAGAAATTGAAAGCAAAGTACATTCTTTCTTTTGACTCTTTTTCTGATCAACATAATGTATGTGTGCCCTGGAAGTTTACCCATAGGTTCAAGTTCAAGTGTGCTACAAGATAAAAAAGGTTGAAAAATACCACCATAGGCCAAGTGGAGGAAAGTTACCTAACTTCACTGTGTCACTAAAGCTTCTCTTTACTCATGTGCAAAAGGGGAGAAATAAGGCCCACTTCGTACAGATGCTGTAAGGATGAAATAAAATAACATATGTGAAATGCTGAACAGTATCTGGAAGAGGAGGCAATGCATGATTGACATTGTCAATCTCTGATAATTCCTTCAGCCTTATCATTTTGTTAAATTTGCCAGTGAAAATAAACAATGACATAGAAACTTCTAGACTTGTTTTGCAAATTATATGATAAAGCCAAGAAGTGGAAAGAATATGCATGACATAACAGCTATGTCACATTGTCATAATTTTTCAAGTCACCTCAATTATTTTCCCTCCATAAATATATTACTGGCCTTCCATATTGAACAGATAAGCTACATTTTGATGACTGATCATGGCTACAGTAATGAGGAAGTGGACAGGACAGATGAAACGTGATCACAGAACAAGTTCTGGACAGGAGGACCTTATCCTCCCAATGGCCTCCTTAGATGAAGCCTGGGCGCTCATCTACTTATGGGATCTTCAGCTTGACACCGCGGTGGCCTCTGAATACTATGGGCTGCAGGGCTGCCATACACTTGGCATTTCTATAGCAGGACACCCCCTCTCCGCTCCCCCCGGTGTTCAGGTATGTGCCGAGTCCTGAATGGATCAGATGGGCATGTCATTGGTGGCTGCACTTAAGGAGCTCACAGTCCACTGGAGGACACCAGATAGTGATGGGCAAAGTGAGTCATGTGTTACTAACACTCAATACATAAACACACACCAAGTGGGTGTTCCAGCAGTGGAGGTAGGGACTCTCCTTTGTCCTGGGAGAGGCAGAAGAAATGACTCCTCTTAGAGAAGAAGCCATTTGAAGTAGGACTAAAATATTTTTAATTTGCCAGAGCAGACCAGAGGAGGAAGGACGTTCATTTCAATTGATACTCACTGGGCAAAAAAAACTAATACAAATGGAAGTAATGGCCAATGTTACAGGACAAGATACCAGGAGCGTCTCCCTTGTCCTCAAACATTTCACGTACCTACTGGAAGTGACACCCAGTGGGTGAGTAGAGTGGGCACTGAGCAGAGTGAGACTTGGCCCCTGCCCCTCCCTGGAAGCTCACAAGTTGGGGGAGTTGGAACGGAGCAGAGAAACAATATCACTAAGGGTTAACAAGGCCAATCACTCAGATGTCAAAACTAGAATGAGAAAAGGGGAAAGGAAGCTGTTTGAGAGAAGGGGGAGATGGGAAGAGGCAAGATGGAAGCCATCTCAAGTTTCATTTTAAAAGTTTGTTAAATGCGCTCTTCTCCGTGGGACACAAAGATCGTTCGTTTGCTAGGGGCACATCCTAAGAGGATATGGGAAAAGCAGTCTTTTATAGTCAGTCAAGAAGCAGCCACCATAGCACCAGTGCCAGGGGCTCATGCTTCAGAACAGGGTTCCGGAAGCTTTGCCACCCGGGCTGCCTTGCAGAGGGCAGCTGTCCATCCGATGGGTCTGGCTTTCTCAGAACTACATGCAGCACCAATTCTACAAAACCACCTCAAACCTCACCACTCCTTCCTCTTGTAGCAAAGCAGAAAGAGAAAAAGCCTCACGGGCCACAGTGTGACTCACCAGATTGCCATCAAATGCCCACGGTCTACTTCTAATCAGATAAAGATTCATCCCCACCTCTTCCAGCTCTCTGGCCATAGAAATCTAAAGTCTAAGAGTAACCAACCCGGAGGGGTCTTGGCTGGTTGACAGAAATTTAACCCCAATGATAGATGTTCCCCTTCTCAAAAGGGCAAGACACAGAGAAGCTCTGTGTCGTGGTATGTGTGTTTGTACCGATTCACAGCAGCTGCCTTCTCAAGGTAACCCAAGTTGGTCTTAGTGTTCACTCTACCTCTCTTTTCTGTCTAAATGCATTTCTGAATGTCCTTTTTCCTTCTCGTGGCAGTTATTCCCTAGTAGAATAGAGGGCTGCTTGTGGAGTTTAATTCTCATAGTTCCAAATATAACAGAACTGACGATTCTCATCCTCTGATCTCTAATCTAAACCTCTGCCTTTTCTTCCAGGTTTCTGTCTGTACCAGGTTAAGGAACCAGTAGTGTGACTGGCTGGTCGTTATATGCAAAGCAATGAGCCATTTTATCTGTGAAGGTGTTCCACTTAAGAATGCAAATGGGGCGGGCCAGGTGGCTCACACCAGTAATCCTAGCACTCTGGGAGGCCCAGGTGGGTGGACTGCCTGAGCTCACAGGTTTGAAATCAGTCTGAGCCAGAGCAAGACCTCGTCTCTAAAAATAGCTAGGAATTGTGGCGGGCACCTGTAGTCCTAGCTCTTTGCGAGGCTAAGGCAAGAGAACTGCTTGAGTCCAAGAGTCTGAGGTTGCTGTGAGTTATGATGCCCTGGCACTCTACCAAGGGTGACAAAATGAGACTCTGTCGCAAAAAAAAAAAAAAAAGAATACAAATGACCCTGTGAAAGAGGGTGGGGTCAGCATTCCCATGCCTAGTAGAAAGTGCAAGGTCAGACCGCCGAACTCAGTAAGTAGCAAAGACAAGATGGGAACCAAAGACACTGATTTGGGGGGCATCCAACCAGGGTTTCCTCACAGTCTCAAGTGACTTAGTGGATATTCCCACCTGTTACTTTTAAGACAGCAACAGAGACAGACTCTCTCTAAAATCGAATTCATCACTAAAAAGACATGCAGTCTTTGTTAATGACCACTTCCTCTCAGCATCAAAGACACTGGAGTTATTTACATTTCTCTCTCTCTCCCTCTGCCTCCTATCACCGCTCCTGCTCCCAGGCTAGTCTAGTTACCTACGAGAACTCACTCAGCTCTCACAACCACTCCCCAAAGTACGCATTATTATCTCTACTGGTGAATAAGCTAAGGTCTTCTAAGGAAAGCCTGGGTCTTTACTGACTGCTCCTTACAGTGGCCATCCAGGAGACAGAGGGAGGAAGCAATTCAGATTGTCAAGGACAAGGTCAGACTCCTCCAAAGGCAGGTAACACAAGCCAGACTGGGCTGAGCAGGGACGTGGTAACAGAGGGTGACAGTGCTGTCAGGGAAGCTGGAAGTCACACGGGATGTGCAAGCCCTCATCCCAGGCGGGGGACACTTTCCCCACAGTGAAACAGAAACCATTTTCTGTGGTTGTGTAGGGGACAAGAGAGTTTCTAGCAGGCTGACTTGTCCAGAGGGCTTCCTGGGCGCACAGCCACTGAATACGGGGAGTAAGCAGGCAACATGGTGGGAAATTGTTACCATTCATGACCCTGACTCCTTGGAAACAGAGGCTCAAAGTTGTTCAAGAATTCTGAGAATCCGTATTTAAGGTTCTGGAACAGATACCCTTGCCCCTGCTTCCCTCTCATTTCTTCCTCCTATCCTGACTGAGAGGTGGGGGCAGGTTTGGCTGTCATAGCTACATGGTGAAGGGCAGGGAAAGTCCCTGGTGGTACGGGGACAGCCACCTTCCTCAGGTGGCAAAGGCACCCCCTCACTTTGCAGGCTATCACCTCAAGGAGGCTCGGCTGCTTTCTCTTCTGCCGGCTTCTTTTTTGAACAACTATTTTTTGCTTCCCCCATTAAAAAGGGTAGCATTTGAAACAGCAGGCTCCCCAGCGAGGCATTTCACCTTCTAGACACCCTTGAGGAGTAAGGCTGCAGGTGTGCCAGCCGGGACACGAACATAATAAGGACAATACAGGAGGGCTGCTCTGAGCCCTGACACTTACAGCAAATTATGAGGGAGAAATTTCCATTCGATAGGGATTGGATCCAGAGTTTCTTGGACCCACATTTAATTTCTAAGGATGACTGAGTTCATTAGAGAGCAGTTGATTCCCATGCAAGTTCTAGAAAGTGGGGTACCCCCATATCCACACAAAGACCTCATCTGTGGCTCACATTCCGGCAGGGGCACCTAAACACCAGAGTCCCTCTGAAAAGGAAGAACCGGCTCACTGGGAGGCTGGGCTGGCTGATCCTCTGGCTGATTTTAGGAGGTGGAGCCTTGCTAAATGGTGTGTGTTTACCAGGGTGGAGACTTGGGAAAGCAAAGGTGAGTCAGAGCACACAGGCAGGGATTATTCTCTCCTGAATGTCTACCTTCACTGCCCAGGAGGGAGCCCCAGGCTGCCCTGAGACAAGCCTGGCCTGACCCGACCCAGCAGTGGTTCTGCCAACACTTCACTAGTGTCCCAGCGAGCATTGTTCTCCAATTCATCCAGAAGAGAGGAGTTACCCATAACCCACATACTGGGTAAGCACA